TAAAACAATTTTCAAATTCAGCTAAGAGTAGGATGTGTATTATAAACGAAAAACAGATCAAATAGTTATTCTACAGAGTAACGTGTTATGTTTTTCTTTCGCTTAAGGTGAAGAAGTTCTGGCAATATTGTGCTTATTTCATGACAATGCATAATTTAAACAATGATATTTTAATTATTTCCATTTTTATTTTGTGTAAAAATTATAAACATGAGCTACAAACACTGAGATAAAACACATTAAGAGCCATTCTCTGTAATGACTTGAAATTTTATATAGGAGCTGTGGCACGCATAGTCTCAGAATTTCTCCAAACTCTCTATGATAAAAGTCTTTGATACCCTTAACTAAAATCAGGCAAAAATTGGTTGCTATGTGTTATAGTTACCATGGCAACATGTCTAAAATTTTGAAAAATGACATTTTTTACCATGTTTAGAGCCCCATAATTAACATTTGCGGCAAAGCAAACAATTGGCAATGACTGTTTCCAAAAGTTGAAGGCCTATTGCCTCAAATGCATGATAAACATTTTTGGTAAATCAACTATTACATACGTTACTATGGTAACAAATTATTAAAAAGTAAAAAAAAATATTCATTGAATTTTATAAAGTCATACACGTAAATATAAAAAGCAATTATAGGATGAAATGTGATCAAATAACAGAGAAAAGAGCCTTGAAACATATACCAAGAACAAATTATGATATTTCAGTTTGATTGGCAATGGTTGCCAAGGTTTTTATACAACAGAGAGCCTTCAAATTTACACTCTGTATGTTTAAATCTGATCCTATCTTTTAAGAAAGCACATTTCCTCATAACTAATGATCAATTTTTAAAGATGTTGGTGTGGTCCTTATTTTCCCATTTAAAAAAATTCAGATCGGATTTTTTAAATAGAGCGTTGCTATGGAAATAAGCAGAAAAAATATACTTAAAAATCTGAAAAATATTTTATTACCCTGGATACGTACCCTCAAATGTAGATTCCCAAAACTTTTATGATTGATATTTATTAACAGCTAACCTGACTTTTAATTTGGACTATCATCCAATCTCCAACTGGATGCAAGAAGCTGGCACACAGGGTTTAATATTGATATAAAGTTCACAAAATCGAACATTTTCCCTTCTTGGTAACCATAGCAACAGTGTTGTTTTCTTCGTCAAGTTTTATCAATATATGATATTCAACTTCAGTTCTAACAGAGAAGTACTATTCAAGCTGAGTCCTTTAATTTGTTTCTTGATTATATGGCAGTTTAATTCTTAATGCAGCGAATAATAATTCACTTTTAAGCCCTGGTACTTTGTTTCCATGGTAACACTGCAAAGTAGCAATTATACCCTATATTTCTTATGGTTTTGGTGTTGCAAGGCCCTAAGGATGCATATAATTTGCCAGTCTTGAATTTTCATGTTTTCCTCAAGAAAGTAGCATTAACCCAATCTTAGTTACTGGTTTTGCATGGTTACTCTGTGTTACCATGGCAACCATAAAAGTTATTTATAGAATAATATTGCTTATACTTATATACTTAAGGTCAAACATTTTCATTGTTTTTCTTAAGTCGTTGATTGAGTTTGAGCATGTAACACCTACCATTAGTGAATACGGAGTGTTTTTCAGCATATTTCAGCATTTTAAATGTATTCCAAATGTACCCTTGGTTACCACTTACTTAGAGATATATTCTAAACAGTTTCTTTACAGTATAAGTAACGTCAAGGTGTCATGTTTTTGTGAGAATGGTTTGTTTGCCTTTTCTAGTTTTTATTAAGCCACAGTCAAGATTTAAAGTGGCTGAAAATCTCGATTTTTCAAACTTTTCCGGCTGTTGCCATAGCAACCGAGACACTTAGCAACGAAATTTGTTTGATATTTGTTTCTGGTGTCAAGTAGTAAGCATGGGTGAGGTTTCATCAAAATCGGTGACCATGCGTGGCAACGAAGTTTAAGTGGTTACAGAGAATGGTTATTAAGATCCCCAAACCTGTTGTTCTCTTTTATATTCCTGTTGTTCTCTTTTATATTTCTATTTTATTAACCTCCCCTTCTTTCCGTGCATCCAAAGTTTTCGCGGCCTACAACTCGAATGAAGTCATAGTAACAGTATCCGGGTTATTTCCACAAGTAACGTTCGGAGCGGATACTGTGTAAAAATCCGGAATTTTTAGAGATATTTTAGGTCATGTCTCAAACATTAAATTATGTCTCAATTTCTCAAACGGCAAATATCAAATAATGATTATCAAATACTAGTAAATATATACAAGCAACTGATCAATATTCAATATCTTTGCAATGTAAAATGCAAGCCAGGTTCAGAGGTTGATAGAGTAGCGGAAACTGATAGTTCAACATGTTGTTGAACCAATGTTCCTCTTTCTTTACATATAGTTTTGTCGAACCTGATACATAGTAAATCTGCATGTTGACTTACATATCTTCCTTTTTTGTGCGTGAAAACTTTGTATATCCGGCCAGCATAGCTTTACTTCTCATGTATCATGCATCCCGCTATGGGTGTTGTTGTAACCAATGAATTATAACAAGTTAAGGGTTTGTATTATGATTTCGGAAGATAAAATACATTTATAAATGAATTTTGCCCCAACACTTAACATGTTTGTATGGACCAAACCTGTCTGGATGTTTTCTTCCTTGTGTATTTTGCTTTTTCTATCTCTGCTCCTTTACACCGTCCGCACACTTTCGCGCTCCGTAACTCTTTGTTGACAATAGGATCTACTTCCTTGGTAACCGATTCTCATTCGGAACAACCTCTGTCATTTTCTTACCCAATTCAACAAATATTTCCCAGTATTTCCGAATGCCTCCTTCATAGACTAGCCTGGTTCCCTGTCCTGTTTTGCTTCGTATTCTCCGCGTCAAGGATGAGACAGGGGACCAGGCTATTCATAGACGAGTTATGTCCCTTTGTTTGATCTTTTTATTGATAGGCCTAAAATACGCAAGTTGGACTCTTACAAAGAATTTACTTCTGTGAAAAAGCCGGGAACAGAGAGAAGAATTTTAAAAGATTTAATGCATTTTCACAATATAATCAATAGAGCCTTTTCCTAATACCAGAACTCCTGACACTTGAGCCATGAAATTCACAATTTTAGAAAAGGCACCCTTCATCGTCATATTAAACTATACTATGTAGTGTGTTTATTTGAAACCCAGGAGCAGAGAAGACGATTTTCAAAGAATTAAAGCATTTTCACTACATGTAATCTATTTAGCCCCGCCCTAACACCATAACCCCTGACCCTGGGGCCATGAATTCCACAATTTTTGTAGAGGACTCAATGCTTACTACATTCATGCCAACAGTTTGCAATGGCGGATCCAGAGTGTTGGAACTCTCCCCCCCCCCCCCCCCACCCCTTTATTTTTTGCCAAGTGGAGAGAAAGAGAGAGAGAGAGACAGAGAGAGAGAGAGAGAGAGAGAGAGAGTATGAACTAACATGTAAATCCTAGTTTTTAACCCCACCCGCACCCACCCCTAAAAAGTTTATCAAAATTGTAAAAGAAAATTCATTGTACTTTTCGGAAATGCTGCAAATCCATTCAGTTTTAAGGCTTCGGTAGTTTTTGAAATGTGTTTTTTTACTCGGACTTGGGGTACCTTTTCAAAGAAAAAAAGGGACGTAAACAAAGATATTATTTTCCTTAACATTTTATCTTTCCATACGTGTGTGTGAATCTTTGCTTGAGAGTGTGTAGAGGGGGGGGGGGTGGTTAGAGGACACAGCCCAGGACACTAGTAGTGGCTGGATCCGCCCTTGGTTTGACTGATTGATGTCCAGGAGTAAAGAAGAAGATTGCGTTGATTTTAATGATTTTGGCCCCCCAGGCCCCAGACGGACAGAGACCATGAAATTCATGATTTTTGTTCCCCTTTTCCCATAGATGCTTTATGCCAAATTTGGTTGAGTGGTTGCAGAGAAGAAGCTGAAAATGTGAAAATGTTAATACACGAAGGACGACGACGGACAACAAGAGGCCCATGGGCCACATCGCTCACCTGAGCACTGTGGCTAGGAAAAGTAGAAATTGGTTTAATATTGAAAAGTTTCAATCCAAAAGTAGTCCCATGACCAATCATGGATTTGCTATTCTTGAGAAGATGATTTTTGAAGAATTTTCCTATATATTTCTATGTAAAACTTCGGTTGGCCAAAATTTTATGTAAAAAAATGATTTGAACAAACTTGAATCTACATTACCTGGGGATGCTTCCATATAAATATGATGAAATATGGCTTTGTCATTCTTGAGAAGAAGATTTTTTAAGAATTTTCCTATTTATTTCTATGTAAAATTTTGGTCGGCCATTTTGGCCCCGCCTTACCCCCGGGGGTCATGATTTGAACAAATTTGAATCTACACTACCTGGGAATGCTTCCATATAAATATGATGAATTATGGCTTTGTCATTCCTGACAAGAAGATTTTTTAAGAATTTTCCTATATATTTCTATGTAAAACTTTGTTCGGCCATTTTGGCCCCGCCCTACCCCCAGGGGTCATGATTTGTACAAATTTGAATCTACACTACCCCAGGATGCTTCCACGTAAGTTTCAGCTTTCCTGGCACAGTGGTTCTTGAGAAGAAGATTTTTAAAGTATACCACCAAATTTTCATTAATTCCCAATTATCTCCCCTTGAATGAGGGCTTGGCCCTTCATTTGAACAAACTTGAATCCCCTTCACCCAAGGATGCTTTGTGGCAAGTTTGGTTGAAATTGGCCCAGCGGTTCTTGAGTCGAAAATGTGAAAAGTTTACAGACAGACGGACAGACAGACGGACGCCGGACAAAATGTGATCAGAAAAGCTCACTTGAGTCTTCGGCTCAGGTGAGCTAAAAACGGATAGCAATAGATCACCCGAGTGACTCAGGTGGCCTAAAAAAAACCTAAAAGGTATAACACTGAACATTAAATAGGATGTATGAACACAATAGAATAACAGAAAACATTGGGACGTTTATTTTCTTTAAGAAACAATAGATCATAACATGATTTTGCTTATTTGACACTGATAATACTGGTATAATATAATATAATTGCAAATGTCATTTTTGAAATTGCACTTGTCCCATTTTGTAGGAGTTTGCCATCTTCACATATATGGAATTGTTCTAATCTAAATTCTGAAAAATGAAAAATATAATGTGTTCGAGAAAATAAAGACAAAATATACATGTATAATAATTATTACTTTATCAGCTGATATTTCAAGAATAAGGAATTTCTAAAGATTTTTTTTTCTATTTCTCTAGATAGGGCGATATGGAGTTTTATGAAGATTGCAGTGCAAATTTATCTTATTTAAATTTGTGGAATAAGATTTGATTTATAATCTTATGTATAGTTTATCTTACCTGTTTAGAAATTATTAATAAACTGCACTCTGTTGAGGTCCACGCGACCTACATTAGCTAAAGCTTCTCTGTGGTTACGAGTTTTTCTCTGGAAAATAAAAACAAGAACAGTTAACACTAGATAATTTTTGTTTTCTTCGTGTATTTAGAACTTTATCGGTTTGATAGTAGATGGTATGCATAGGCGTCGGAAGCAAAATGAGAAAGGGGGAGGGGGGAGTAAACCAACAAAAAAAAGTAAACCCCAATTCTCAATGCCAATATAATGTCTATTTTTGAAAAAAAAAGTGGTGGGTTGGGGGGTTGGGGTGCGCTAAGCCCCCGTATGGGTACATGTGTACCTACCACATAAGGCCGGTGTCTGGCACAGAAGCCTGGTTTTTCTCGCGGACTTTTGGGTCGGGGTCGTGTGTAGTCTATCTTTTGTCTCACACACTCGTGTCTGAAGTCAACCCCAGCCAACCACTCACACTATAAAAAAAATAATTTCTTTAAAAAACAAAGATTTCATTTATTTAGACTCGGAAAAAATTAAAATGTGAATTAAATGGTAACAGAAATACCGATTCATCACTTCGAATACCCCGAAGTTGTGAATCAGTATTTCTGTTTCATCTTTGCTTACAGAAAAATGTAACTTATTAGCTGTACATCATTTGGACTTACCACATGAGTGGGGTACTCCTCTGTAGGGACCATTCTCCGTGTTTCTGATTCATTGACTAACCGTGTCAACTGGGACTGGAATAAAAGAACACAATACTAGTAATCAAAAAAGTCTGAAAATAAATAATTAATTTTGATGAAATAGTAAATTCATTTCATGTGTACATGTGCTTACCCATTCATCCATCCTTTCTTTCCATTCATCAACCAGAAAATGTAAATTATGTATTCGCTGTAAAATAATATTCATTTTGGTCGTTAATTCATCCTTTTTTTCCATGGGGGGGGGGTAAAATTTATTAATTTAGAAATTCAACTTTTAAAATTTTTAATTTAGAATTACATGCCAATAAGATTTGCCATCATTAAAATTCTATTAACATTAAAATACTATTATCAAAAGAGTTTAAAAAAAAAATAAGAAAAAAAAATATTTTTTAGAAAATCATGTATATTTATACGTTCATTTACTTGATATGGAGGGAAAACTTACGCCTATGGCGATGACATTCTGTGCATACCACCACGCCTGATCAGTGGGTATATAGCTTTCTCTTGGAGGAGGCTGTAATGATGAAAATACTTGGATGTAAGATGAAGAAAATATTGGTACTGTTCTAGGTAAATGCCCAAATAGTTGTCAAATTTTCCTATTCAGTGAGTTGAGAGAACATATCTTGTAAATGACTTATTAACTTACTGAATTAGTTTTGCCCTCTGAGGTCTCCAGTTCTGACCATGTCCGGTATTTCTTGTTGGACTCGTCAACCTCTGAATGTGTGAACAAGAAGTCCAAAGTATCACATCGTGGCTCCCTTGACGGTCCCTCCTTGCCAGCAATGTCAGCTGCTTCGCCATCACTGACTGATGAGGAATCCTTCTTTTCAGATCCCAATAAGAGCGTAGGATCCACATCTTTGTCCTTATGTTGGCTATTCCCGATATCTTTGACCTTATGTTGGCTATTACCGATATCTTTGTCCTGTAGATCAGATGGCGTGTCGCTCCCAGCCGGGTAGTATCCAATAATAACACAGTCATCCTCAGTGTTTCCTCCCACTAAGCTATCGGACAGTTTGGTCGCTAAATCATCACCAAGGGAAGACTGGTCTGCCTTGCTAAAGCCTTTCTCCAAAGGATACAGTGTCTGTGTCCCTTCTGTGTTGCTGTTGACGAACATCATATCTTTCCCAGAAGAGCAGCATTTTTCCAGCCCGATATCGGACTGTGGAAGATCATGGTCAACATCAGCTGTCCTCCTTGGTAGAAGTCTGGGTCTTGGTCTCTTGTAAGGATTAAACTGTGAATATTTTATATTAAATAAAAGTTGAATACATTTTCAAAATATTGAACCCCCCCCCCCTCCCACATGTTTCCCCCAAATCGCCGATTTTAATAAATCTCGTTTTAGAGAAGTTTCATAAAAAAACATATTTTCAAATCTAAATATGTAACAAATAAAAACAACTGAATTGATTTTTCAGTGTTTTGAAAACTGAATTCAGAGACTTCAAACACGCAAAAAGAGAAGAAAATTAAAAAACATGTAAATTAAAAAAAATATAGCTTTTGAAGTTTTTTTAAGAAAGACAAATTGATAAAATTTACCCTTCTTGCTTTGTAGGCAGTGCAATGAGTAAGTATTACTTTCAATTTCATGTTGAAATTTCAGATATAGGTTTCTGAATTTTTTGCACGTCTGGTCGCAATCAAATGGCGCCGTATCTATGGCATGGCGTTGCCACAATGCAACGGCATTAAAATGGGGATAGTGACGTCATAATGATAAGATGTTTTATGTAAAAAAAATTATATTTTTTCTGCTAAACCCTAAATTTTTCTTTCTTAGTCTAACTTACGAACAGAAAATTTATTTTTGAATAAAATTTCACTTTTATTTTTATTCTCAAGAGGCACGCATCGAATACATGTACAGGTTGTTGATTAAAAGTTGGTATAGATTTGAAAATTTGTCCATTGAATTTCCTTTACTTAAAGATGCATATGAATGTAGTAAAAAGCTTTTTGTGAATGGAAAGAACTCAAAGTTTGCATTTATACAGAAATTAAGGAAACTACTGAATATTAAAGAGGAAGTTATTTGTTATGGGAAATATAAATTTAAGTCATTTTGTCATAAAATTTTATTAGATTATTATGTGAAGAAATGGTATACAAGTCATAAAAGTTATACTGATGGCAAATTATCCACATACGTGAAACTCAAACAAAATTGGGGTTATGAGAATTATTTATCAGTTGTTAAAAATTTTCATCACAGAAAATCTCTATGTAAATTAAGAATTTCCTGTCACAGCTTACAAATTGAAGTGGGAAGATTTACCAATATTCCTCGAGAAGATCGATTATGTAATAGATGTAATTCTAACAACATAGATGATGAAACTCATTTTTTAATAACATGCAAAAAATTTGATCATCAAAGAAAAGAAATATTTCAGTTAATTAATCATAAATTTCCACTATTTTCAGCTTTAGATGATGAACAAAAACTTTATTGGTTACTCAACACTGAAAATAAGGAAACTCTTAATTTTGTGGGCAAATTTATAAATGATAACATGTTATAGTAGCATTAGTCTTTTACACATACATGCATATTTGATGTATTCCTTTTAGACAGGATTATTGTTAAAATGATTTATGTCAATTACTAATTGTATAATTGTTTTGCTATTCATTGGCTTATCTTTTCCTTATTATTATAACAATCTCATACTTGTCTGTTATGGGCTCTAAATTAGTAATAAAATGTTCTGTTCTGTTCTCTTCTTCTTCTTCTTCCTTATAACCACAAACCACCTTCTGGTGTATTGTCGTGATTTTTTTGCGCTTGCCCTTGGGGAAACAACGAACTATTTACAGTCTATAAAAACCATTATGGCGAAATTTACAATTAAAACTGAGTCATTCTAATTGCTCCAACGCAGTCCTTAAAGCTCTCCAGGCTAGAGGCGCTGACTGCAGTAGATGGTAGGTTGTTCCATAGTGTAATTGCTGATGGAAAGAAAGACTGCTGATGACCCTGAATTCTGGAGTAAGGGAGCAGGAACCTGATGTTATGGCCCCGTGTTGTTAAGTTAGCTCCCCTTGGTACAAGG